TGTTTGCTTGTGAAGGAGTGTGGGCCGGCTCCGTTGATGAAACGTGGCTCCCATCCACATGCCTTCCGGTCGTATACCTTCGGCTTTACACTGGATACGGGGTGTGTGGTTGGAGCTGTGGGTTGTGCAGCGCAAGCCACCCATGGTCCCTCTGTAGGCACAGGCGTCCTGTGGCTGGCCACAGTGACAGACAAATACGAAACCGGATGCCGCCAACCATATATGTGTACAAAGCTGATCATGTCATCATCGGTGTGTCTCAAGTATACCCGAGAATATATTACTGATTTAAAACATGACTCTGGTGGCTGGGCCACGTGTCGCGCATGCCAGCACACCGAGTCCCTACGTGCGTTGTTTTCGCGCCGAAGATGTGGATGGAAGGAGAGGAGGAATGAAGGCCCTCACTTCTGAGCTGGCCACGGTTAGAGCCACTCCACTCCCTGGTTCGGGTCCAAAAACGATGAACACGTTTGGCTGGATACACTTGCTGACATGCCTAGGAGCAGATCTTAGTGGCGTCTGTGTTGCGAGTTGCTTTGTCCCTTTCCCTCCCGTTTGACCTTCCCCTCCAATTACGATCTTACTTCTGACGCATAATAAATCTTTTTTGCGGCACAACAGCTGGCTGCTAACTCCTCGGAACGATATTCCTCCCTTACTGGTGGATCAGCTGGTGCGCCTATGTTGCGTTTAGTTTCTTTTCTCGTGTATCGCGGCACAATGACTGAGGTGTTTCCACTCTAGCTAACGTGTATAACGATGATGAAACAAGAGCACCTGGTTGCGGATATGACAGAGTATGAGATTTCATCTAAATGACAGCTGTCGGACCAAGTCCCTCGGTTAAATTTTCCATGTCTTTCCAAGATGCTGTTGACTTGGCACTTTGGAATAGTATTCAACCAAGAGTATGAACTACAAACAATGCACGATCAGATAGCCGCTTGGCAGAAATGAGAAGCACCTGACCAGCAAACACAGGCTATGCACGATCCAGAACGTCGCCAGAAGATTGGCACCGAACATCCACTATTGGTGTTCCCACCAGATGCAAGTAACACTTCGCAGATACCAGTAGATAAAAAGGCAACAGTCCATACGATAAACATAGAGCCTTCGAAAATCATCGAATTAATGTACATAATAAGTACAAATATTACAAAATCGGAAACAAAGGAACGATTTGGTTTGTTTTTCACAAGCCGTTTTGTATCCTTTATCACTTTAGTGATTACAGTTTTGTTAAGTAGAATCAATGCATAGGTTCATGCAAGTCTTCCGCTGAGCTAGATTCCGCGCCAGATCATTAAGAGTCTTCAAACTGCGGTGTTCTTTATCTTTGACTCCCCAGCCCGAAGATGTACGGGAATGACAACAGCTACACTGGAAGTTAGTGCCTTGACGTTTTGTCGCTAGGTGGTAGATTGGCCACCGCACGGTTTCTTCCAATGCGGGTCTGCGCGAGCGAATAGAGCGCGCCGTGGTAAACGCTCGCACAGCATGGGTAACACGTGACCTAGCCACTTCAGTGGGCGCAGCGTTTTAGTTTTTCAAAAGGGAGGCCCGTATTACCTAAGCCTCGACGTGTAACACGATTGTCGTAAACGTGGTGTTCACATCAAACACGGGCTATCCTCCGCAGATAACCGCTGTCAAAGGCCAAAATCCGACGCAAGTCACTTACACCGAGCGTTCAGGACTCACTTCCGTACAACAGTAGACCCTGTCCCTTACCGAGAGTGAAACATCACGATGACGCCACAGATGTCTCAGATTGTCAAAGCTGATCGGGCTTTGACAATACGAAGCTACAATGGTCCCATCAGCAGAAACACCGCTCCCAAAATAGATGAAGTTACCTAATTATTCAAGCTGTGCGCCTTCAAGAACCAGCACTGAAGCAGGTGGATGCCAACTCTGAACAAGGACTTTGCATTTCGATGTGGCGAAGGTCATGCTGTATTTGGTAGATTTAATCGCCAAGCGGTTTAAAATGACCTGCATAATAAGTGGGTCATCACCGAGTAAGACAATATCATCATCATCGTCCAAGTCAGTCGCGCAGTTACTTGGAAGTAGCACTACGGCAAAACCATGGAGAGCCTCCAGTGCGCTTAAAAGGACATCCTCAATAGCAAAGTAGAAGAGAAACGAGGCATAGGGCATCCCTGTCACACACCACTAGTGACGGCGAAAGTTGAAAGCAGCATGCCTTAAGCCCTCGCTCTGCCAGAGATATGGCTGTATAAAGCTCGAGGGATGGTAGTATGATTTTCGGGCACCCCACGCTTGCGCAGACAACGCTATAAAGCGGGCTGATGAACCAAGTTGGACGCAGCTCGGATGTCCAAAAAGGCGACAATTGTAACCTGGTAATAAAGGTGACGTTGCCCGAGAATTTGACAGAGCGTAAACACACCGTCGACCGGGGCGTAGTCGTCGAATTGGTGTTAGCCTGTGGTACGCAGTACCGACGCTTCGCTGCCACGCAACCACCATCAGTTGCGCGCCGGCTACAGATACTGCAAGAGTCACTCGGTGCCTAGCAGGTTGGAATCCGCGACCTCAGGATTACAAGGCAATCTTGTGAATCCATAAGACCACGGTGCTGAAGTGAGCAATTTGGAAGCGGCGAATATTAGGCTGAATCCTCTGTGGTTGGCGCGTAAGGTACAGACACTCTTTTTGAAGATGGGTACGATAATCGACTCGTATCAAAAGGATGGAACCCTTTATTCTTAACAAATCTTGGAAAACAGAACTGTTACCTGGCTGACAACTGCCTCACCACCGTACTTGAACAGTTCCGGAGGAAGTCCGTCTGAGCTTCAAGTGACGAAGCTGAGGGCAGACTTCCGTTTCGGTCGGTGGTTTCAGTGTATCGTTTCAGGTGACAAAGCTCTACGTAGACCTCCGCGCTTCGGTCGGTGCCTCAAGTGAATCGCTCCAAGGCGCGCAATTAGACATACTTGTTAGACAGCCGGAAGGAGAGATCCAAAAGGATTGAGAGCGGAAGTGCTCAGGTCCGCGGTACATGCGCCTACTCAAATTGCTGATTGGTGACTTATCAACCACGTAAATAACCTCACTGACGCCAAGTCTTCTGTGGCTAGTGGTCCGAATGATCTGGCAGTTTGTGGACATTTACAGAGAAAGTTGCTGCCTTCATCTCTGAAGTGCGCTGAGACCATCAAATTTAGCGATCGTCTCGCAGACTGCCTGAGTTGTTGCTGGTGTAAACCCGAAGGCATAAGACCGAGAGGCAGGTCGATATGAGCCACGTTTCATCAACGGACCCGGCTCACACTCCTTCAACCAGCATAGCAGAAACATTGGACTCAATCGCTGTGAAATTGGTTGCTCGGAGAGTTTAATAGCTTGGTGAGCAATGTCAGCTGTTAACCACCGCCTCCACGGCTCCAGCCCCAGCTCCGGTTGTCTTCGCCTGAAGGGCTTAAATAAGGACAAAACCAGTCGCAGAGCGCAGTGTTTGGGATGAGGCAGCACATAACTTCACCACTTCTGATACGACGCTATTGCTCGGCACGACCAACAAGTAACACTTAACTCACGCTGAGATTGCGCGCCAAAGTCCAGACACCCGGCCCGTAGTTTAAAACAAGGTCGAGCCGGGGAAAACGTGTCCGGAAACAGAACAGTTTCAAAATGTTTTGAAAAACAATGACAGTCGTGATATTGCGCATTAGAGATTGAAAACATTGCACGGTGTAAGCCAGTGTAAAGGTAGGTAAACTTAACCACAAGCACGATAAACAAATCGGTTCTCGTTCTCAGGAACCAGTGTTCGCCTTCACTCACAGGAAAGCGCATTTGGTAGAAGTGGGTGAGAATGACTGGGGTCCACCAACTAGGCCACCTTCAGCACACACTTTGCGATCGTATCCGTTAGAAATTGGTGTTTGTCGAAATCGCATCTAACTGCGCAAAGCAGCAGCGCGGCTAGGCGATTAAATCTGGGAGGAACGCGGACGCTGCTGGTAACATGTGGTCGGGTTGATGCGTGCTGCCTTCCTAGATGGGGTGTACTCGTGTCGGTTGATGAATACATGAGCGCACGTGGAGTAACGCGCCATAACAGATGTATTATAGTCGCTGGTATAACGTCGAGTTGTGCTCTGGGGCACAGAATTCGAACGGCACCTGCCAAAGCCGAAACGCTCCAAAACGTGAACGCAAGTATGCGCGGTTTAAAGCCGTGCACCAGACCATTGGATTATGCGCCATTTTTATGCTGTTTTTTGGATAGCCACCGTTTGCGCTGTGGCAAATTAGCTATAAATACTGGGCTTTGCGGCTCCCAACCCTAGGTACTACACCGCTGATTTTGCTCTTGTTTCAACTCTTCAGTTTGACTGCGTCATAGTTGGAAACAGAGCCCAGAATGTCGCGAATTTCCAGCAGGCAATTTCACCACTACACACCACTGAGCACCGCGAACGGAGCGTTCCACAGCGGTGGGAAGCTACTCCTTGTTGTGTTTTAAAGTACCCGTTGTGCGATTGGATCGCGACACGTAATCTCAGACCAGATAGATTTTTCATTGAGTGAATTGCGATCAGTTCAATCGACGGGGCCTAATCGAAAAACCGGTCGCGAAAAACACCTGCATTTTGTCAGACCCTTCATTACCTTTGGTGGTCTTCTGTGGCCATCAGATTAGGTCGAGCTTTGTGGGGTGCTATCTATTTTGTCCAATAATTCATTTACTTTTCCGATGCTACAGCCACAGCTGACAAATGAACTGGACCGAAACGAGCTATGTTCTTGGGTGATGAAAAGCTGCAGCAAAACATGCATGTCACGTAGCTCTAGGTTACCATCCGATGTTTGGGAAAATCTAGTCTAATGAATTACGAGATGTTCGCGGTCGTACGGAATAAGTTGATGAAAGATCGTTTGAAACGGATTCAGTTCGGTGACTAGGTCTTATGTTACGACCCAAGTGAACTAGTGATAAAAAGTAAACATCCACTCACCGGTGCAAAGTGTCCACTTTTCGAGCACTGAACCAGCGCCACTGGCGCAGAAGAGAGTCATGTGACCAACCTGGAATGCCCTGGTCACAGAATGACTCCCCGTCAGGACCGAATGCGAACATGACGAGCCACTTTCTGTGCGCAACGGTGACTTCGAATCCCTGTAAACGAGAACAGACAGATCGGTCTTAAGAATGTGATTCGGAGGCGAACGGAATTCGGACACTAGAGTGCAGGGAAAAATTATTTAAGAATCGCACTGCGAGGAACTGAACTCCAATGCGGCATATACTGTGAGCTCGTAAAGAAGATGCGGTTAGTCGACCAAGAATCGGATACATTGTGCCACAGGTTTCCATGGTCGCTTAGGAGACAAGTAAACAGTAAAGCCATCTCGCAACGAATGGGAAGCGAATGTAAACTGAAAGCAGCGCCCTACCACGTCCAATGAGCTGCGAGATGAAGTAGTACGCAATAGAGCGAAGCACGTTCCGAAAGATGTCAAAGTCTGTGTGTTTGTGTGCAACTTTGTCCAAAATACCGTGATGGCTGCAGTTGATCCACGCGCAACTAAACTGGCCATGTACACGCCGGTGCTATCCGACAATAGTATGATGATCCGCTGACGACAATGGGCGAAGACACGGTACATCATACCGAAGAAGTCAATTCACACCCATATGGGTAAGAACGGCTCCCATTGTGTCACAGCATGCACGGTATGTAAGACTAAGGGAAACTCCCTCTGGTGATAGAGATATTGTACAAGGGCGAGAGATCTGAACAACGGATGCCAAGTATTCCATAGCCAAAAGGATAGAGCAGGCGGTAAGACAGTTCCTAGCCCAGGAAATCAGTCTAACAATGGTATGATACGGAATAAACAGCCAAGGCTTGACAAGTCCCATAAGTTAAAATAAGAACTTACAATAAAGTGAAACGCGCATATGTGGACTCACCATACTATCCACGTGAACATAAAGTTTATCCGTCTACCCCGACTTAGTGGGAGTTGGTGAACACAATGCTTATCTGCGTCTTATCGTCACTCAATGAACAGAAAGCAAATCAAGTAATGCAGGTGGTGTAATGCGTCGTCGAGTCGTCTTTTTAATGGGTAGTGTGGGTGCAGAAATGACAAAGGTCGAAAGAGCGTTCCACGGTTGAAAACTTCGAAGGGAAAATAATTCCGCCTGCATTTCAGCCGATTGCACTGGATGGCCAGTTTCAGCTGGTGACCCCCTCTACTTTGTGTTGCGGCTAAGTTCCAAGAGGTTCAGGGAAAGCGTGACAGGGGTTTTACAAGATCTGGTACGCCAGAATGAGGTCGCCCCGTAGACGGCGATATCTTCTGCTGTACATACCCAGGGCTTGCAGTCGCAGATGGTATGGCAGCTGGAATAATCCCTTCACATTTTTGGTTGCCCTTCGTTGTGCAGTCTCCAGTACAATCAGGTCGCGCTTAACCAGGGTCGCCAGGCATGGATCGCGTACTCTACGTTGGGCCTCACATACGGATTGAACATTTGGCGAAAGATGGAGGGGTCGAACTAGCCGAAGGCCCTCCGTAACAGACTAACATGTTGGTTCGCGGTTTTGGACGACTTCGAGGACTGCGCCGAACAGCCGAGATCAGCTTGCATCACCACAACGTTACGCTCTTGTGAGGCGGTTTTCAGCATGTCGTCTCCAAGCTTGGATGCGTAGGTGAGCTTGTGGCATACATGCGCAGTTTTGCACTTATCCGCGTTAAACGGAAGTAGATTTGCCTTTGAACATTCAAAGACGCGGTCTAAGTCTCTTCGCAGCATATCATGATCTTCCTGACAGCCGATCGCCCGCCATATCTTGATGCCATCCGCAGTATACAAACGTTCTTGGTGAGGCCGGCACGGTGCTGACGAATCCCACTGGGATGAGACGACCGTTTAGTACTTTTCCGGGTGTGTGGAAGGATGTCTGGTTGGGGGTCGACTGCGGTGGACAGTTCGAAAGTGGCATTAAAATCTCCTATACATTGGCAGTCAAATATTTCCTAATGGCTTCTAAATTTTGTTGAGAAGCCGTAACTCTAGGGTCAAAATCCGTCCTTTGTGAAGTTTGTAACGTGTAAGACAATGGAGAAGGACTCGCGCTATATCGCAGTAAGCTAGTAAGTGAGAATAGTCTAACGTTGTCACCCGTGATCTGGCGGTATAAACCGCTGGTGTCGATATGTCATGGGTACAATTCCTGGTGGGACTAGGGGGTGCGTACCATTGACAAGTCTCTGTAGTCGAACAATGACACCCTGTGAGTTGCTGCAGTGCAAGGAAGCATGCTCCATGGCGATTTCGTTATGCTTGCGTAGAAAAGTATGCTATAAGTTGTCCGCGTCCTTAGGAATCTCAAGAGTGCTGTGTCGGTTCTCCAAAACATCCGCAAAAGGCGGCGGTTACCCAACTCCGACTCCACTGATGAGTCACATTCTCCGCGCAAGGGTAGTGGAGCTTACAGCGCCTGAATCGCACTGAAAGTGCGAGAGGTAGTTCCAATGAAGATATTGCACTGGAAAGCCGATTGAGCCCGGTTCTAATGTGAAGCACAACCAAAGCTAACAAGCGTCTGCTGAAGTTTTTGCATCTTCTGTTGTCTCGGTATATGATCTCATAGCCGATAGTCAGAAGGATGTCGCATGAGACAAATTCTGTCAGAAAGTGTCACCTAAATCCAGAAGATTAGATATATGGCTAATGGGACTATTCTTGGTAGTGTTAAAACACCGCCAAAGCCAAGTGAAAGTGGTACTTGCTGTATTTGAGTTGCGATGAGCCTTCAAAGGTGAGAAGATCGAAATTTTCACATCAACCGCTCGGTGTCCAAGGTCGGGCGACCATCAAACAAAGTCGGCGTCAGACCTAAAATGATCATTTAGTCATCAACTGTAAAGTGTCCGTCAATCTGGACCAGACGCCAATCATGAGCTGATGTTATTCCGTATAAAACCTATTTTCTATATCACCGGATCAGCTCCTTGGCACAGGTGCAAGGGAAACAAGAATTAGCCGAATGCATTTCTCTCATGCCAGTCCACATGATCACCTCGATCTATAGCTTGTGCGCGTCTCATCCGTAGTCAAATTACTGCTGGAAACGCATCGATCATGTGTTTCCACTTTTCACATATGCACATGGGTAACAGGTGACTAGCCAGATGAGAATGGCGTGATAGCTGGAGCAAATTAGCCTGTATGTCTGTCGAAACAGTGGTCCACGGTTCCATAGTGCTTTATGCAACCACAGACACACATAGAGTGCTCAAGGCTTCACATATCACAACAAGATTGGGTAAGACACATAAGGAGAACACTCGCTTGCAACGTTTTCCTGTACCACTACGAGGAACATGGGTTTACAGCGTCTCATTTTTCTGAACGTTACCTATTCCCGTTGCCATACTAGCTATATGAAATGGGTGTGCACCTTGCGGTTGTGGTCACTGGTTTGTCCGATTTCGACCGAGTTACTTGTTTGTTTAGTTGTAGCGCACCAAAGCATTAGAGTTCAAAATGTGGATAACAAGCAGCTATTTTCGCTCGATTTGGCGTCGGTGTTTACTAATATCCCCGTTAAAGAGACTAAATAAATAAATAAAAGGTGTATTCCTCGACGGTGCAAGGCACAGTCCAACTGATTGGCCTGGTCATTATGTACTATGGGATCGCATGGGACGGATAATATTTCTTCGAGTTCTTTTTTCAGAGTAGTACCCAAACTATTTTTCGGGGCCGACTGATCGGTTGCATCTTTCAAATAGATGAATTGGTTGATAATAATACTAAATGCAGGTAAATCAAAATGTTCTAGTAAAGTAATACGGCCAACCGTGGATTCGTCTCCAGGGGACTTGCTTCCATGCAGGTTAGTCTATCGTAAGGTTTCACCCGCACTCCCATGTCTGTTCTAACCGTGTGCTGGTGTGGCTTTAAAAGAGGTTTGCCATCACCAATTTTACACATCTTTAGGGTTTTTTAAGTGTATATACATATGGGCAATTAGGCCATATAGCCCATACCAACAATCGGCTTTTTGAGTCAAGCACTTTTAAAACAGTTAGTTCCCTTCAGTAGTTTGAACAACGAAATGAGAAAACGAATATTGGAAGATGCTAGCATTTCGTATTATCTCGTCAGTACCAATATAATAAACATGGAAATCCTTTTATATGTCTTACAGGGCACAGTCAAGCCAATCAAATTTATGGCTGTGGTCATTGTTGTTGGGATTAGGACCACGGCAATCGCACGTTGACAAGTAAATGCTTCTGGACACACAAAACTAGTCTGATTCGGCTTATCGCGACTGCCTCGGCAAATCGCAAAAAGCGCGAATTAGCATGACGCAACAAGATCCGGAACGACGATAAGGGATTAACCCGGTGACGAGTCGCCAAGATGTGCCTGCCTATGGAGGACGCTGGCGGCTTAGCGAGCACGTATCGTCGGAGGTGGATTGAGTAACTTCGCGCTGAACCCAGTTTGGTAAGTGTTCCTTCACTCTGGAATCTAAAGCCCGTTCCGTTCTGCCGATGTAACTGATGCCGCAGTCACATACAATGTGACGGGTTCATCTTCCTTTACTGAAGGTAACGGCAACTTTCGGGTTCTGTTGATAATTGCCGTAGTAAGTTTCATCCGTCTGTCATACCGAGTCTGGTTTTAAGGACTTGCAGCGCTGTGCTTAAGAGATTCGAGAGCATATTCCCAGCAGACGTTTAGTGAACGATCTCTGCAACTTCTCCAGTTTCTGGCGATCACCTTTCCTTGTGTTACCGAAGATCAATGCACAATAGTCTAAAAGCGGTTGGGTTTTTATCTTGTATAGGGCGGCTATGGAATCGTGCATTTTGATTTTTTTTTGAATAACAGTCCAGTGCTTCGATGAGCTTTAGTGACTACATCTGCCGTGTGCTCCATAAAGTTACGTGAGCCAGAATAGTGAAGACCTAAGCCTTTTATTGCACGGTTGTACATTATTGGCTTTCCACACAGAACCAGGGTGCCAGGTGCGAGTGTACAACATAACAGTAGGGCACTACATGTTTCGGTTGAGAATGACATATCCCATTTGGAGCACCATAACTCAAGGGCTTTTACATCAGAAATAATGGCGTTCGTTGTGT